AAAAAAAAACAAAAAAAAAACACCCTACCAGTTGATAGAGAGGGTCTAAGCATAACACCTGTCCTGTCACAGCATAAAAAAAAAAAAGAGAGAGACTGTCTCAGCAACCAAGGTTCCAGTTTAAAAAGAAAAAACAGGGAGGAGGAATGTGGAAGGAAATAGCATAGAGAGGTCAGGGTAGCAAGGTGTTAGCAAATGTAGCTGGCAAAACTTGGCAGTATACTAATTAAAATCAGGCTACAGCCTCATCAGCTGCACTGGGAATTTCATATCTCTGTGTTATCTCTTTCTTATTTCCTTTTTTTTTTTTGAGACAGAGTCTCACTCTGTCATCCAGTCTGGAGTGCAGTGGCACCATCTCGACTCACTGCAGCCTCTGCCTCCAGGTTCAAGTGATCCTCCTGACTCAGCCTCCTAAGGAGCTGGGACTCCAGGCATGCTCTACCACACCAGGCTAAGTTTTGTATTTTTGGTAGAGGTGGGATTTTTCCATGTTGGCCGTGATGGTCTCAAACTCCTGAGCTCAAGTGATCCGCTTGCCTCTGCCTCCCAAAGTGCTGGGATTACAGGCGTGAGCCACTCCTCCTGACATTTTTCTTCTCATTTCCTAATTGAGATCTTCTCTTTCTTTCTCCATTCATTATTGCTTTTTTAAATTTTTTTTAAAATGGAGTTGTGCTCTTGTTGCCTAGGCTGGAATGCAATGGCTTGATCTCAGCTCACTGCAACCTCCGCCTCGCAAGTTCAAACAATTCTCCTTCCTTAGCCTCCCTGATAGCTGGGATTACAGGTGTCCGCCACCATGCCCAGCTGATTTTTTGTATTTTTAGTAGAGACAGCATTTCTTTATGTTGGCCAGACTGCTCTGGAACTCCTGACCTCAGGCAATCCACCCTCCTTGGCCTCCCAAACACTGGCATTACAGGGATGAGCCACTGCACCCAGCCCCATTCATTATTATTTACGTATATGAGCCCATTGTTTTTATTCTAGGTTGTACATCTTGTAGAGTATATGCCAGATATACTCTAGAGTAATATAATGGTTTGGTTTGGTGTTTTGAGATGAAGTCTCACTCTGTTGCCCAGCCTGTAGTGCAGTGATGCGATCTCAGCTCACTGCAATCTCTGCCTCCCGGGTTCAAGCAATTCTCCTGCCTCGGCCTCCCCAGTAGCTAGGATTACAGGTGTCTCCCACCATGTCTGGCTAATTTTTGTATTTTTGGTAGAGATGGTGTTTCACCATGTTGGTCAGACTGATCTCAAACTCCTGACCTCAAGTGACCCACACATCTCAGCCTCCTAAAATGCTGGGATTACAGGTGTTTACCACCGCACCCAGCCATTATGTTTTTTACTTTGAAAAAGAAATTATTTTCTGATTTTAGCGTGTTGACATATTTTGTAGTCAAGGCACTGAGACATTTGACACACTTCCCAGTTGGGCTCTTCCCCATGGAGTTTGTTGTGAATCCTTCCATGGGTTTCTTATTCAAAATTTAGTCTTGGTCTCATTTCAGATGTCCGTAGATTACATGTTATACTTAATTTCTGTTTCCATTGAAGTCCCCATATGTGAGTGGAGGTCAGCTCTGGAAAGATTTAGTTTTTTACATGAGACAAAAAATTATATATTTATTTTTATAAACCTTATAACTTACAAGATTACTTTCAATTATAGGGGTTAGAAATAAACTGGAGTAGTATTAACAATATGAGTGACTTTGACACAGTAGAAATCAAATTTTATATCATAATACAGTCATTATATCAGAAAATATTATTTATGCTGATTCTTTCCTCAAAATTATAGTAGTTATCAGACCTGCCAGTAGATCTTGTTATGTAATATATTAATTTTAAAAGTACCTATAAGGGTATTATATATTTATTGTTTAATCTTTTAATA